GTGAGTCCCAAGCAGGTGGTCACACGCAGGTAATCATACCAAGTAGAAAACCCGTGCTTAGAAAACTTAGCGAAAGAGCAACAGGGGTAGAACAAAAACAGTGGCTGGGAAACCGGGAAAACAATGGAGTCCATAAACGGTGCAAAATCAGGGGCAGGTGAGTAACTCAGGTGAGTAACTCGGGTGACGTGCGCATAAACAAAAAAGAGGAGGGGAAACACAAAGAAGGGAAGTCAAACAGAACATGCCACGTGAGAAGTGAACCTACAAAATAAAACAGGAAAACAATGGACACATAAGACAGAAAAAAACACAACTGATGTGCTCTGCGGAACGGGTGACGACAAATAACAAAGGCGGAAATGGGCCCCCGGACCAGAAGGTGACGTTGTGTTGTTTGAATTGAAGCGATGCGCAGGGACCCAGACAGGGTGTGGCCTGGGGAGCGCGCTCGCCCCGGGACCCCCGGGGCGTCTAATCGTAGCACGCAGGAGACAAACGCGGCCGTTCTGGTTCCTCTGGACCTCTGCGGTCCGCCTCCGTCACGTGAAGTTTCCGTTGGGGTTCTGTGGGATGAATCACAAACAAATGCAATTGTTTCAGAGCGCCAAGATTTGAATTCTCATCAAGCAACTTTGGAATAATTTTGAGTCATCGGCTCCTGTGGGAACAAGTCTGAAGATAACCCATTCAGGAAGCCCATATTAGAGTCAATGAGGCAGGCGAAGAGCGAAAACACGGAAAACACAGCCCTGCAGGGAAAAATACTCACGTGAGAAGGAAGCTGGAGACCGGTTGAATGGACTGCCGTGCAAAAGCGGAAAAGGTCGCGTTATTAAACACGAACGGTACCGGAAGAAAATGCACGTGGGTGTTGTTCTTCGCGATGCACCTGGAACGCGATTTAGCCGCCGGGGACGAGCTTTTCTTAGGTGAGACCCAACATGACCTCTTGTGTCAGGGGTGATACGTCTCACTGAGAAAGATCTCCTGCCCAACCCGAATTGGCCCCAAAACTGGGTTGATTTTGAATTTGAATGGCGACTTCTCTCCAAAACAGCGACCTTTGCTCCGTCCAAAGAACGACACGTTGGGGTCACCTCCCGCCGGTTGCCTGGCAACCTCACGGTAAACCTCACTAAAACACTTAATAAATGACTGCGTGGGGCCGAGGAATGTCATCCAACGAGAAAAGAAAGCTAAAGAGTGTTTATTACTGTTTATTTTGGTCCACTTAATTGACCCTTCTGTAAGCCCCGCCTCCTTCTGCTGCTCCTTTGAGCTGTCAGAGCTACGCTACCATGGCAACCACTGACTGCACTCCCTGAGGAAACACAATCTCACGTTTTGGGTAAAGCAGAACAGTGACTTCACTGTGAAGCGGGTTAAATAAATACTGCAATTCAAACAGATCTGAAGCAAAAACATAATCGAAAAGATGAAAAGATTGAAGCAATAACCTTCAACTCACACGCGTTGCCTGTGGGTGGTCTTAATAACAATAATAATAATAATAATACAGCTATATATAATAGGAGTAAAACATTTTAAAACATCCTAAACGCTAAGCTGTAAATAAATAAAACCAAGCAAATAGCGACACACACAGTCATACGTTTGAGAGGTGGGTTGTGATTTGAATGAGGAGAGGTCAGTGCAGTCTCGGGTGAGTTTGGGGAGAGCGTTCCAGAGGGAGGGGGGGGGCTCCGTCACCCCGTCTCCGCTGCCTGGTCCTGTGGGGGATGGATAGGAGGTTGGCGTCAGAGGAGCGGCGGGATGGAAGGTGATGGTGGAGCAGGTCGGTGACGTAGGAGGGGGCCTGATGATGGTGTGGGGGGGGGGCTTTGTGAGTGACGAGAAGGATTGGGGAGCAGAAATTGGAGAATCTGTAACTCCGCTCACCTGGAGAAGGTGGGCAATGGCCCGCATGCATCTGGGGGTGTATAACGCTCCAGCTTTTATTCTCCTTCCTCCATTGAGGGAGCCGAGGGTCTCTTTCAAGGCCCTTTAAGGTGGTATTATTTCTTAAACCAACTGCACAAACTCCCAAGTTTTCATGTAGCTGTACTGTCCTAACGCACCTTATGAGCGCCTGTTTCATGCCTTCCTGAAAACGATTCAAAGCTCAATCGAGGGGAAACAACAATGATAGTTGTGTTTCTGCTTTTGCAGCCCATTTTGTCGTCTGGTCTGAGTGCAATCGGGTGTTTTCAGGGTTCTCAGCAGATTTGCAGACCGTGGTGCAGAGCTTCACTGGCAGGGAATTGTTGGCTCAGAGCTGCCCTCTGTGTGCATACCTGTGCTTGTGCACGAGTCTCCGCATGCGTGTGTGTCTGTTGCGTGCGCTTCGCCGTACAATGTCCAAACAGGGCAGAAGATGTGAGCGTCTGGTGCGTCGGGACCTTTATACAATATTCTATATACGCAAGCATGGCATGCATGAGATGTAAAACACAGCTTTATTTATTGCCAAAGGAATGTTCTTAGCAGCATCTGAAATCAGCCCTCATCTTCCATCACTCAACACCACTTTCATACTCTCCCTCGAGCGTTGGAAACTTCAAGGAATCGGCATTAAAGGTACACTTCCAGAGTGAAAACCTGACTTCTGCCTCTTTATGGCCGATGATTTCGATCAAGGAAGGCCTCCGGTTCATCTCAGATCCTCTGAGTGCATTAAAGGAGACGAGACTTCTCTTTTAAATCAGGCAGAAAGGAATGCACATTTACTCTCAGCTCGCCTTGGGGCCTTAACCTGCACCAAACATGTTTTTGGTGCGCAGAGAAGAAGACTAATGGCACCTAGTGGGGGCTCCTACATGCATACAACTGCATCATAAAACTGCTATTATGGCACAAGTCTCCGGTAAGAATGTATTTATATTTTATGGTTTAATATACAAATGATTTACGGATTGCAAACAGCGATGATAATAATAAAAAGTCTTCTTTGTCTCACATCTGTAAATGTGTGTGAAATTAAAGGACAACATGACGTTTTTTGCTTTGCAATTGCTGTCATGTTATTGTTATAAATTACCCCGTAATTAGTGATTATCTGTGGAGATTTGATGCTAAGCTCCCAAAATGCAGATTCCTTTTTTCCTGCGCTGACTTTATAATCCTTTAACGGATCTGTCCTTTCATTTCGAAGTCAAAAGGCACCGTCATTCCCTTGTTGTGTGTTGGTGTGCGGCGGAACACGTGAATGCAGGTGGAGGCATGAGAGCGCCCGTCCACTTTTTATCGAGCTGTTTTTACTGCGCGACACTTCTGTCGGTTTCACCGGCGCGAAAGAATCCTGACCCACCAAGAAGAAACCCAGGAACAACACCAGAGATACTTCACTCGGGCCCTTTGTGGTGAACTCAGCTCTAACCAAAACATTCACAGCTCAACTGATCCTCTTGTGGAGGCTGTGAGTGAGATAGAGGAGGCACGCAACCTTCCTGCAACTGTCACTTCTCTAATGAGCCTTCACACGCGGAGAAGAAAAGCAGAATAATGAGAGAGTATCTTAATGAAACAACGTCGAGGGTTTTTCAAATTGGGATTTCCCTCTCTCATTAAGGACTCATAACTAAGAGCCCGTTCCCAACGGATTCATCAACCACTAACCTGTGCCAAGCCAAAGGTGGATTTCGCAATTTTGCACACACGTCAATTAAACTCAAATCTATTCATGGGAATATTGAAAATAACAGGGAGACAGACGCCGTGCTTTCAGATCAATGATGCCACCTCTAAATGAGCAAAAGCCCCGACGACAAAGGTTGAAAAGCTTCCTCGGCTTAAGGCCTTAACCTTAATAGTGGCACTGCGGGGACACAACATAGAATTAAATGTAATTATAAAAAAATGTTTCCAACCCACGAGGTGCCTGTGAGAGCTGTGTTTGTTTCACACAGCCCCCCCCCACCGGGAGAGAGGATATGGCAGTGCTTTTCATACTGGCAGCTGTTTGATGAGACCAACAGCGCTCCTTAGCTGAACCGTGTAGCCGCCGGTCTGATCCACAGCGCTCATCAGATTGAAAGGAGACGCCTCGATGCTCTGCAGGCTGCTTCCACTGAACTGTCCTCACAAACGCTGCTCGCTGGCCTTCATTTCTCCTCTCGGGAAGAAGACAACGCCAACGAATGGGAGCCCCCGTGTGTTACAGTAGCTGGGACATTATCGCTGTTGCAGCTGCCACAAAGGGGGGGGGGGGGAATTTGTAATTTCGAAGGGCATCTGATAGCGCTTAGATTGGTTGTGATAGTCTTCTCTGCAGTGCATTGTGGGAAATAACAGGGAAAGTAGAGGGGCAGAATTCCCCAGACGGATGCAGGTGAAGCGAGCACGGCTCTGTGTTGTGGGTGATCAGAGTGATCAGAATCATAGATGACTGATAACGGAGGTGTGTAAGTCTGTGTCTGTGTGTGTGTGTGTGTGTGTGTGTGTGCGATCTGAGTGACTGCACAACAAAGAGTCTGAATGGATTTAGTCAAAGCTCCAACTCTGATGCAGCTGCATTCCTGGGGGTTTATGATGTGAAACACCAAAGGGAAGGAAACAATGATCACATTCATGGGTTGTCATTTTCTGCACTTTTATCTGAGGAATTTGTTGAGCGTTTTTTTTTTTTTTTCTCCCCCTTTTTTTTCATAACGTAATGCGTCCACCTCATCCAAAGCGGCCCTTTGTTTGAAGGCTTTGTTTTAAAAGGTTCGACCTTATTCTCACTAAGGAGGTGTGGTACCTCTGCAGTAGCACCCATACTTGCATAAAATGTAAGGATGCACTGTAGTCATGAACATAGAACAAAAGTATTAAATGTGCATCACACAATCATGTGATAATTTAGCTTGAATTTTAGTTTAAATTTCAATAACTTTTTCACATTTTTACTCAACTTGGATTTTGTGAACAAACTGCTTTTGTCACCGATGACGGAGCAGCATGTAATTTACTGAAACAAGATATTGGAGAAAGATTAGATGTCACACTTTGGGGGGGAACGAAAGCTTTTATTTCTTATTTTCAGAAACTTTGTTTTATGTCACATTTTGATGTTCTGAATAAATGTATTGCCGTTGGTGATCAGCCTCACATGTCACGAGTTGGATATTTGCTTAGAAAAGGTACATCGCAGCAGAATGCAAATGTCACTTAAGCTCACCAAAGACCAAACATGTAAAAATAACCCATTAAAATGAAAACAGAGGGAAGAAAACCAACATAAATGATGACTCATTGCCAGGTTTCAAGACTCATTCCAGCAGCATTCTATAATATCTTACAAAGGAAAGAGCAGGAAGCCATTAAATGTGGTTCTGTGGTATTGGTCATCCCAAATCTCTCCACTAAGTTGTACCGAAACAACATCCCCCACCTCCAACTGCAACACCACGCCGTTGGCTACGTTGTCCTCAGGATCTTCAGCTGTGGTACGACGGTCACCGCTTGCGACTATGAAATCTTCGTTCTTTACAAGTCTCATCAATGTACCGCTTTCAGTGTGTGCTACATGGCCAGTAAAGCTGAAGTAATACAGCGCTCTTACTGCTGCAGTGAAGTAGCCTAAAACCAGCAGAAAAGAACAGTCACAACTGGTAGAAGTGAAGAAGATGGCCGACTGGCCAAAAGAGGAACTATCAGACTACCTGTGATTGGGTGTGGAGTGGTTTCCAATGTTGGTGAAGACATTTCTGTAGACGAGTGGCACGAAAACATCGCTGCCTGTGTTCCCTTCACCCGATTCCAGAAGTGAGGCAGAAAATGCCACTTTCCCCACTGTGGCAAAGTTAAAGAGCACACAATCATTTTAGAAGGAGTTGTTGTACACGTGTTCTCAAACAAGCACAGAAAAACGACACAAAGAGGCAAACATTTACCTTCATTCAAATTCTGAAGTTCCTGCAGTGCAGCATCTTGTCCTGGATTGATGACAACCATTCATACCCAGATGCACACAAACCATCTCACAAACCGTCAAGGCTGCAACGTGAGAAGCTTTAATATGGCAGCAAAGACATGTTTCCTATGTAAAGACCAATGGTCTTGTCGCGAAAACGAGGACCAGTCCTTTGGGTCCGTCTGAACTTTTGCCACGGATTGTACTGTTGGCTGATCTCATCTAATCTTAAGGGCCGGATCCGACAGACGGCGTTCGCGGCTTCTTCTTTTATTGAACCTTTACCTTCCTGATGTTGCTCCAGCTCTTCCAGGTGGGTTTCATCGGCTGTCAGTCTTTGCTGTAGAGTGCTGAGCTTCTCCTGGGCAACTGCGAGCTCTGCGGTTTGATCTGAAGTGACAGAAAAATGTGACAAAAAAGTGGAAAACATGCAACAACAAAAAACGACGTACCTCTGTCATGTTTGTCTTGTTTGCAATGTGATTACCGTCATTCACTGTCTGCAGTTCCTCTGCCAAGCTCTCAGCAGCCGTCATCCTGGCCTCCATGGCTGCAACAAGATTGCTGGTGTCATTTCAGCTCCATTACGTTGTTATGAGGTGAGTCATTCATTACAGAGTACCTGCGTTCGCCATCTCCAAGGCCTCCACTACGCTCTCAGCAGCTGTTACTCTCTCCGTCAGGTACCTCAGCTCCACTTTCTGCTCCACCACCGTGTCTCTCAGTTCCCTCAATTCATCCCAGATGTCTTGCAGAGGCAGCGGCCCTTGTTCTCCCACATCGGGTTCTGCGCCGGGACTCGTCTGTGTCTGAGCTGCGCAAAGGTGGCCGAGTATCCACACCAGCGAGAACGCCGAGGAAGTCTTCATCATCATGGTGTTTGAGGGCAGCCGTGCACTGGATCGGAGAGTTATGGATGCATGCAGGGTCAGATGTGTCAGGTGGGGGCCCGGGTGGGTCCATCAGAGCTGTGGGAAAGCACAGCTGTACCTTTGAGTAACGTGGCAGGTGGTGCAGATAAAAGGACACAAACAGAGGGAGCCGTCGCAGGGACTTTAAACACTTAGACGGTGGTTTTCTGCAGTCGCGACAATTTTTCCATGTAGCTCTATTGCATTCTGTTATTAATCCAACAGCTTTTTCAGACTGGACTGCGTTCTTCCAACAATGGTGGAACCCAAAGCATCTAAAAACCCATTTTGGGCCAATCTGTAAATCGAATCAAACTACACTTTCAGTGCATTTTCCTAAGTAACCAGTTTTGCTGATTGTGTTCGGGCAAAGTGTGAGTCAGAAAGTTCCCGCCGCCCTCCCAGTACCATGGAAGTGAAAAATATACTGAAACTATAAAGAAACTCCTGCATGTCACTGCTTACCAGTCATATGATGAAGCTCCATCCACGTCTGTGCAAAATGTCTACGCTTTATGTCGCTATGCTGTTACACATTTGTGTGGACCTTTCACAATATTAGCATTAGCATTCAAGAGTTTCTTTGGGAGGTCACAATGACCTTTGACCTCCAGATTGAAATGGCCGCCTGTGTCGAATAGAGGAAGTCAGCATTGCACCGCTTCCCATTACACAAATGGGATTTTTCTATTGGCCTTTGGATTACTGGAGAAAATACGCTCTACTGGTAACTTTAGTGCTTGCTAATGTAGTTTTGGGACTCTATTTGAGGACATTCCCTTGAGGCCTCCACAAGAAGCTAAAATGTGTATTTGCATGTGTATTTGCATCCAAGCACAAGACAGATCATCGTCGAGTTTGATTGAACCGTGCGAGAGGAGAACCGACCTGCCAAACACACCTTTGCAGTGGCACTGTTCCAACATGATGAGATTTTCCACTGGGGCTCTTCTCTTTTTTTTGCGGTTGCCGTCAGCCAGAAAAATTGCAATACGTCAGGTACGAAGTTGTTTTCCAGAATCAACTGGATCTGGAAATATGTTAAACACCTTGAGTGCAGGCTGGCATCCTTGGAGTTATTGTGAAGAGCTGCAAACAAGACCATTACCTGGGCGTGTTGCTTGTGAGTCATAAGCGTGTGCATCAGTGACAAGTTAGACAATTAGACGGAAATAACAACAAATCAACCTGTCGCGACAGAAAAAGAAAAAATAGATCTAGAAGCTTATAAAGTGCGGTGAGAGACATGATTTACGACGATTGCTTATTAATAAGAATATTGCGCTGCCGTCGGTCGAAAATGAACTGCTCGCCGCCTCACGCGCCCTGATTCACACCCGTGAAACACAATGAGAGCATCAAACTAAGCACGACGGATTGTTGAATTGTTGAAGAATGCGTGCGACACAATTTTCTCACAATGCCGCTCTCACTTTTTATCCTATGAAGTCTTAGAGGTTGTTTGAAAAAGACTTTGCTGTAGGGGTGAACACAAACAAATGTACACATCCCACAGAAGTTTGAAAGAAGAGGTTTTTCTGGAAGGAGAACACAGGGTTTTTCTCCCCTGGTGCCGGAGGGGGCAGAGATAAAGAGAGTAATAGTTAGACTGCGGTCACATCGGTATGCAGACAGTCATGAAAGCAGCACAGTGCCTGTTGCATCTTGCAAATTCATTTGCTGAATATTGTGAAATTTCACCGTTTAAATTGGGGAGGCCCTTCTTTTTTTGATCACAACTGAAGGGATTGGTGGGGGGGGGAGCGGGGGGGTGGATAAACACAAATGGTTTGGATTACAGATGATGTACCGATATAGTCTGGTCTGATCGGGGCGTCATCAGCTTCATCAACATCATCATCATCAAAGGGGAAAATTTAATTGTGATGTCTAGATACTGAGAACTGGAAAATGGCACCAATAATTTAGTAAGAACTGGTAAATATCAGTTTGAACTAAAGGGCGCGCCCTGCATTAACTCTACAATGTGTATTTCTGTTCTCGACACAGTATTGTCTGATTTTTTTAAACTGGATTGTATTCGTCAAGCAGCCTATGCAAACGCATCCGTGGTCCCTTATCTGCAAATTGACCAGTCGTTCAACGGTCCACTCAGAACGAGGCGAGAGCCTCCACCCACGTGGTGCTTTGAGCTTAACGTGCTCACAATGATGATGCTATAGATGCTGATGGGATTCTCCCATAGGAATAACTAATAGATGTAGTAATTTAGAATTATACATATATATGTATTCAATAAATTCCTTCATTTATTCCTTCAGTAAACATTGGTCTCTATATCTAGTTTCTCGTCTTCTTCGGCACACTACGATGTTTATTCAGTAGATTATGGTCCATTCAGGGTCAAAGACCATACAGCAGTATGCTTTGGGGTGGGGGGGCTCCTGTTGTCACTATCGCTGCTTGTCCTCTCTGAGCATATTTTTCTTCCTTACGACTTATATCCTTTCATAACGAGTTTTCGGTTAATGAAAGCTACCTTGAGCCCTTTTTGGTCACCTGTCTCTGTCTGTGTTGTACATACAGAGAGTAAATAACAGGGTTTTGTTGTGTGTGAAGAGTCACGCATGCCGACGATGTCTGGCGTCACATTGTGTCACAAAGCCAAAGCATCGTCTGCAGCTCCCCTCCCATTGGTCAGGGCAACTGCTTCCAAGGTGTCGACCTGTGATCGGGAACTCCGGAGAGGAGCCTCCCCTCGGGTCGATCCGATCCGGCGGGGATGAGCCTCTCTTTTCTCCGGGGGGGGGGGAGGGGGGGGCTTAATCTCTACACCCGGATCTAACTGCCCTCTGGCCGCATCACAGGTCGCACAGGAGGTGAAACCTGGGTTTGAAAGCATCTGTTGGGTTCTTCTGTGCATCCGGCTGGATTTGTTCCGTTCCAGAATGTGGGACATCAGGGACATGGTGCAACATCGGCAGTGGCAGTGTGATGACACCTAGTCAGAGCTATCGGGTGCCTCAACGTGACACGCAACCTCACATACCTGCCGTCATTCACCTCTCAAATTCCCCCCTCGCTTTCTTTCCTCCTGCGTTTCTCAGCTCTTCCTTCCTTCTCAGCAGGAGTCAAGACAAACGTGATGTCTGTCCTTCTCTCTTCTCTCTGTCCCGCTGTCTCCTAGTGTAATCAAGTTGTCCAGTCAATCACCACAACCTGCTGTCGCGCGTAATTACTTGCAACGGAAATTTGTTGACCACGTGACATAATCTACAGTGATGACTCACAAGTGGACCAATCACGCACGGCGTGCTTCAAGGCCCACAGCGCGACCCGGCCAATCACGGCGGGAGGCCCGGGAGGTCGAGTCCGCGCTACGGTACGGAACTAGGAACGCGCACACTCCCCTCGTCGGGGGAACAGGGAGCGCTAGCCCGTGCTTGCCTGCTGCTGAGAATGCCCATTAACGCTGGTTTCCCCCTCAGGTGATGACCACCTGAGCTATCAAAGACAAGTGTGTCTGTAACACCGCCCCCCGATCCCGCCCTCCCCCATCACATCCCTTCACATCCCCCCCCCCCCGGGGGCCGCAGATCGACCGCAGTCACACGTGTGTTCTTCAACATACGTGCCGCTACGTCTCGAAGCTCGGACCCCGAAGGAAAATGGTACTCGCCGTTGTTCAGTGTTGTAGCCTCACTGGGCCAAAGTTGTCCACAGTTTGGGGGCCGACGCGATCCTTTTATAATACTGGGTTATTTCACCAGTAAACAAGCTCAAGTTCTAAAATGTTCTACCAGTTGTTCAATGAGAGTCAAAACTAAGAACCAATACTGACATTTGGATCCAACATCTCCACCGAAGCGCCTCGCTTACGTCATCATTTACCCCAAGTTCCTCACATCCCTTTCAACCAAAATGCACCATATCTGCCGCATCTCCTCATCAAAGGCCTGTGTCTAACTTATGTATAAGAGTTTGTTAGTTTAGGTGTCTTTGCAGGACTGATGAGCCGTAATGCCGTCAGTGCTGCCCCTTCCACAAGCAACCCAAGTCCCGTGACTCTCCCTTTGTCCAGCACTATTAAAAAACTTCCTCTCGGTGTCCCTCGACCCAAAGACCAATGTGTGTTTCCTCCGCTGGCTGCGATGCGTGATTCTCTGTCCCTGAAACACAGACCCACCCAGTCTTGAAGAGCAGATAAAGCTAATTAGGGGAAAGAGACATCAATCACGGTTGTGGGGCCTGGTGATGCACCGCATGGACCGACCGCGGCATCTCACTCACTGAGTGTGTTTGGAAGCTCCAGCCAGTCACACACACACACACGTAGTCATTATTGTGAGTTAGACGGGGGGTGTCGGGGGGCGGGGGGGGGAACCTCTCGGAAAGCTCTATTGAACGTTTCCTCAACTCTCTGCTGGAGTTATTGCCGTTTTCGCCCTCCCGAGGAGCGAAGGACTGAAATTAGGGCGGAAAAAAATGACGGAAATCGGCCTCTTCTGTTGGAATGACCTTCGACAGCATAACTCATCTGGGAGACGGCTCTGTTTGGGTGTACAGCTGTCACACAGACACACACACCCTTCCCTAAGATTACAGCTGCTTCGGGAGGTTCACTGAACTCAAAAGGCAGAAGATCACCCGAGTAGCTTAAAGTATGTCCAAAAGAACCCCCCCCAATTTTTGCGTCAGGGTGCAGATGAGCTTCCGTCCTGCAGGTGGGAGTGTGACTCTTTCCATGTTGTGCAGTCTGCAGTTACACAAACAAACAAGAGGACTGCAATCATTTCAATTTAAGATGCCAAACACGCTCGTTGCTTTTATTAGCCGTGACAAAGTGAGCGCGCGTCGATGGAGTTCACGGGTATGAGCAGGTATGTAAATATGCACGTTTACGGCGGGACATGCCCTGACAAGGGTGGCTTATATATTTTTACAACTTCACAGAGGAATAATGTTAACTTTGCCATATGGAAGCTGCATGTGATGAAAGTTGTTGCAGTGATAATTACAAACAATATTCCCCTTATAAATAGAATGAAGCAACACTCGCCAAACCACACTGGTGTTGTTTTATTGTTTTACTAAAATACTTTGCAACTTATAAATCTAGCATAGGAAATATAATACATCCATTTATAATGTGTCTGATTACAAGGTTACAAAAATACACCTTATAGAGTAGTATAAAATGATAGAATAAGAGGCAAAACGAAAAAGAGACACCAAACAATTTCTACCGCCTCGGAGCCACGTTTATGCTTTACATCTGGTGGATTGTTTCATTTGCATAATAAATATATATTTTTATAAGAGAGCTTTTCGAGAGTGCGGAATAATGAAAAAAAAAAGTAATTAAAGGCTTTTTTTCCTGCAATTGCGGTGAAAACATGCACTGACGCAAAGTGGCGTCTTTCTGAACATTCCACTACTCGAACAGCGGCGTCCGGAAATATCGACTTCAGCCGAGAGAGAGAGAGAGAGCGTGGCGACTCTAGCCAATCACGGCGGTGCGCCTCACGGCCATCGTTGAACGGCGACGGCGAAAAAGGTCCTTATTGGCTCTCCGTCCAGCCGTTAGAGCGAATTGGCTGTGATGAAGACGAAGATCTTGGCCTGGAAAGTGGTGAACGTCCCCTGTCTCCAGAGCTTCATCTCCACGTTGAGGGAGAAGTCCCGCGGGCCCTCGGCCTGCCGGTTGAGGTACACGGCGCCCGTGTAAGCGTTCAGCTTCCGGGTGCTGAAGCGGCCCTCCTCGTTTCCCTGCGTGATGCTGACGATGACGTTGTCCCCCGAGTAGGCGGGGGAGGGTCCGATGCGGAAGATCTGAGCGGGGAGGACGATGTTGGACTGGAAGCTGATGTAATAGTAGGTGATCCTCAGAGGGGAGTTTTGACAGTCCAGGTAGTTGGGACAGCTGATCCTCTCGCAGCGCCTGACCAGGGGGGGATGGAAAGGCGTTAAAAATGCAGTTCTAACAACAGTGGCTACTCGAGGTGATGACGAGTCCAACTGATTTCCGCCATCGGAGGACTCACAAGGTGCGTCCCACAAACAGAGAGTGAAGCCCGTGAGGGGAACGGATTTCTCGGAGTGTCGGCGCTGCTTACGTGTCGGACACTTTGCGGTAGTTGGGCGGGCAGTCGACGTGGAGGCAGCGGTACCCTCCTAGGATGTTGTAGCAGGTCTGAGCCAGAGAGCAGTTGTGGGCCCCCGTGGCACACTCGTCCACATCTGAAGCACACAGTTAAAGCGGTGGTTTAGTGCCTGGAGAACATCGGTCCCGGCGCAATTCGAGGGAAAAGCCTCGCCGATGACACATGTGAGGCAAAACATTTTACCCGTGGGGGTGGAAACTGCTTAAAATAATTACAATAGGAAGGCAATATATCCGGGGCGATCACGTTTTACGGTCCGTGTAATTGCTGAGCAACTGTAAAAGTACCAATTATATTTATCTGAACCTGTGCGAGAATGTTCACATCACAGCTATTTGCTGCTTAATTTAGCATTAGCGCTGAAAGGCTTTAAGATTCAGCAGTAGTGTTTTATTCACGCGAGTTGACAAAACGCTTGTGCAGGACTGATGGGTCTGACTCCAAACCATTTTTTTGAGCCGAGTGTTTAAAGTTAGTTGAGGTTAAACTTCTCCATCGTTCTTATCTTCGAGTCAATGCTTTGATTTTTTAAAAGCATGCATTGCTTGGTATTCACCTCTGCAGGAGCGTCCGTTTGCAGACATGGTGTATCCGTACTCGGGGCAGGCGCACTGGTAACTGCCGGGGACGTTCACACACTTGTAGGTGCAGTGGTGGCCGATGCCCCGGGAGCACTCGTCCACGTCTGGATGGAAGACGAGGAGTAAGTCGGGTGAGACTGATTCACCAGCCAAACGTGCGTGCGCTTGTGGCGCGTCGCGAGCGGTGCCCCGTCGTACCTTCACAGGTGTGCCCGTCCTCCCGCAGCTGGTAGCCCTGTCTGCAGTAGCACTGGTAGGAACCGTAGATGTTGGCACACTCCTGACCGCACGGGCCGGCCAAGCACTCGTTCACATCTGGAGATTAGAGGACGGAGCTCGTCACCGACACCAAAGACTTGCCGATGAGCACGACCGCCGTCCCCTCCTCAGCCACGTGCTTCCAGGAAAGCCTGGCACACACCGACGCGGCACCTTGGCGCCCTCACGGCCGCACTTTCGCCCGTGCATTCACAAAAAACGTACGACCGCATGCACCAACACGTCCATACGCGCTGTGATTGGTGCACACACACACACACACACCTTCACAGTTCTTGCCATCGCCGGATAAGCGGAAACCAGAGGTGCACGAGCACTGGAAGGAGCCCGGGGTGTTCTCGCAGGTCTGGGCACACAGGCGGCCCGGGTAGCGCCAGCACTCATTCACATCTGAGAGGGAGAAGCAGAGTCATCACGCTCGCTGTGTGAAGCGTGTACTCACCAGGGTGCCGGTGAGGGGGACCCGGCTGATCGGGGTGTCCATTATTATCTCCTGCGCAGCGGTGTGTGTGTGTGTGTGTGTGTTTGAGGCACGACCTACCGACGCACGTCCTCCTGAAGGAGTCGTACTGATATCCCGCCTGGCATTCACAGCGGTAGGAGCCGGGCTGATTGTGGCACAGCTGGCCCTCCCCGCATTGATGCAGACCGCCCTGACACTCGTCCACATCTACGAGACACACAAAGAAACAATGACGATGTTCAGCTGCCAACCAGCTCGTTACATACTCTTCTTAGTGTGAGAAGTCAAACATTCAACAACAACAACAGCAACAACAAGTCGTACCGACGCATCTGGATCCGTCGGGGCTGGCGTGGTAGCCGCGGCTGCATATTATCTTCCTCTGGCACATGTAGGATCCCACGGTGTTGATGCAGTCGAATCCCAGGCTGCACGGCCGGGCCAGAGCGCCACACTCATCGATATCTGTGGCAGAGACAGAGAGGAGGAAGGGGGGGGGGGGAGGAGGAGGAGGGGGAGGGAGGGTGATGAAGATGAAGACAGACTGAAGACCCAAGGGGCGCAAAGGCGAGGCGCGAGGGGCCTCGTCGGCCACGCAGCCACTTCGGAGCAAACGCGCATCACAAAGTCGCCCTCGCTTCCATTACTTTGCCGTGCGTGTCTCCGTCTGACATTTTCTCGATTCGCTCTTTTCTCAGAGCATTTTCTCCAGCACTCCTTTCACGGGGGCGTCGGCTGCCTCGACATGCCCCAGTTCCTGCCCCCGGGGGCTAATTCCACAGCATCGGTTTGAACTGGAGGAGGACAGACAGTTGGCTTTCATCCACCCCTCTGCAGCCCCCGACAGTCTGATCTGCTGTCTGTGTGGCATTTAACCCCTCCGTCACCGAAGAAGACCCGCCGATGCACCTGCACGGCGTGATCTACAACATGGGCTTGGAAAAAAAAAGGCTGAAGCCCCCCGTTTGCTTTCTATATAAGACGTGTCCTGGACACAGCGCCACGAATGCACCCGTTTGATTGTTTCCCCCTTTAAAAACATCAGTCCATATCCTCTATTAGTACAAGACCGTAAATAAAATATGCATCATCAAATGAAACCTGCAAATATTTTACCCCGAATCAGCTGTACAACATTGGGAGCGATTGCAGAGCTGGCTGTGATGGACATTTTCCTCACCTATACAGTTGCCCTGGAGGTCACGGTTGAAGCCCGCAGCACATCGAGGTTTGGGGCTGCACCTGAACGAGCCCTCTGTGTTCACGCACTGGAAGTCGAGCCCACAGTCATGGCTCTGCTGCACACACTCATCGATGTCTGAGGAAAATAAGAGAAATAAATGAGGTCAAGGTGGGTGAGTAAGTGACTTGTTGCAATTAAAACCCAGATCGAATGATATTAGTGTAATAATCCGCCACATGTGTTGTAGCTGCAAGGGTCATGCAATGCCACATCTCACCACTAAGTGGCACTAGGGGTTCAATGGTAGCGTGCACAGGGACTCACTTGCTGCTCATCTGTCATAAAGCTTTCCCCGGCATTACTCAAGAAGTTAATCAAGAGGAAAAGGCTGGTATTTCACACAGGAATCTTATCTGTACCAATCAACCAAAAGGCCCTGAATTATTTCCACTGGACGAATACGTCTAATGAGTCAAACCACCAGTCGTCTTCTGCATTCAGCATCCGTCCTCCGACATCTGGGGCCGTCGGACAAACCGAAGCCAATCTCACAAAGAGCACAACGTGTGGTGCACATGTGTGTGTGATATGCACGAGTGCCTTGTATTTTCAAGAAGGTTTTTTCGGATTGTACCCGCTGTGATTCATACAAACTAAACCAAGAATTTCATTAAGCTGATATACTTGAGCAGCTCAGCTTGTGTGTTAGCTTGAGTACAGCTGGTAGCATGGAGACTCTTTTTGTTTTTTACATTCGGGGTAAACATAAAAATGCCCTTTGACCCTAATTATGCCACCACAAAGTCAACAGGAAGTGATTTGTTAGAAATCTCAGTGATTTCGGATCTTGTATTTTTTCACTAAATGACTTTCCTTATTTTATTGTGACATTTCTTAACAGAATAATTATTTTTCCAAATAAAAAATTGTATTCAGTTACAGCAAGTTTAACTGTGGATACCCTTAATATGGCTCCTTGCATCTTCAGTCGTTATTTATTTTTTTATACTATAATTTATGTTGTGCTTGCTATTAAATGAATTGCCAAACAATTTCTTCCCGTGTGTCTTAATGTGGCTTCATTTGTGAAAATGGGGACTGAACTTCATTTCAGTCTGCCGGCCTCGAATGAGGCGCTTTTGTTTTTTTCCTCCACGCTGTATGATGACGACCTGAAGAAGCAGCTGTTTGGAAGCTTCAACTAAACACACTTTCTCGTTAAATGCTCAATTTGCCTGATTGGACATTCTTTAACTTGACAAGGAGCTGCAGATTAGCTGTGTTTTCTTCGCCTCCCCTCCCCCCCAAAACCCATCTGCGGTAGCAAACGGCCCTCACAGCGCATCTAAAACTCATCTCGGGGGTCCCTCTCCCTGGATGAGACCCCCCGGGCTCGGGCACAGTTCACGGGGCATGGAAATAATGAGACGTACTGGGAGGTTTACGATTGCAAACTCTTCGGATGTCAAGCAAATACTGCAGAAAAAGCTCCGTGGGGTAAAATTTATGGATTATCAATCCTCCCCATCTCAGCGTGCAGTGATTCAACATATTCACTGCGGGTGGACGTGAGTTCCGTGATGCGTTGTACCTTCACAAACGCCGTTGTTGCTCTGGAATCCCGGGGGGCAGGCGACCGGTCTCTGACAGATATAACTCCCCGCGGTGTTCACGCAGCGCTCGCCCAACCGGCACACGTTCCCCAGCAAACACTCATTTACGTCTGGATGCAAAAACGAGGAGATGAAATAAGGAGAAAGTGAAGACGAGAGGAAAGGAGAAAGTTCACAGTAGAAGTTTAAGAGACGAGAGTCAGACCTTCCTCTGGGAGAGAAACTAGGGTCGAGGCCACCGGGTATAAACATCCTCACGATGGAGAAACCTGTCAGCATCCTGAGTTACTCTCTGCGCCTGACAAGCGGGACGCGGACCAGTGGATGTGGCCCGACTTAAAGATACATCCTCAGGGGACACGGCCTCGGACACACACACCGAGCGGAAGCTTATCAGCCTCACAATGAGCCCGCCTCCATTCTCGAGGGAAATAGAGGGTAAACGTGGGAGGCAGTTGGCTACGTTATCGGGATAGATTATATAAATATATATATATATTTGTTGGTCTGCCTCAGTGTTTTGTTGTGAGAGTGAAAGGAGATTACGTCTGTATCTTCTCCGCACATCTAGAGGCGACGATTAGAAGGGAACCAGTGGCAGGCGGTCCTGCCATAAAAAAACTCTCTGCAACTAGACCTTTCTTTCCCCTTCGAGGACTGCGCGAGATTTTGCACATGCCGTGCCGGTGTGACGTGAATAACATCTTCTCAGCTTTACAGGCGCGATCGAGTCTCTTACCCTGACAGGAGCGTCCGTCCGCCATCCCCAGAGAGAACCCTGGGAAACAGGAGCACTGTGGCCTTCCACCCACTGATGTGCAGTAATGCTCACACGGCCCATTTCCTGAAAATGGGTGTTCAATAGAATGCCGGGTGGGAGACAGAACATAATTTACCACGCTGCAGGTCCTTCCCTGTCCTGTTCATATTGTGTTTCCCTGGTGTCATGGAAACCAAACAAGACCAACCGCACAGGTTCTGATGCGTCCAACTGGGCAGAATGAAAGCAAATTAACCTTTGCTACCGTCCCCCTCCCCCCCTTGCGTTTGACATTTGCAGCACAATTACATCTCACGGGGAAGGTGAGTCCGACACAACGAACATGAATCTCTGGCGACCCGCGAGGCTTCCTCCGCGTTCCCCGCTCAGACGCGAGCTCCTCATTACGCCCGACGTCTCTTACCTTCGCAGGGGTTGGGCGGGCCGGCGGGCTGGGTCGGAGGCGGGCGCGCCAAAGGGTGAGCCGCCGCCGCCGCTCCGTCGTCTTCCTTCAGCCGGTTCTCCTCGTCCACCGTCTCTGCAGAGAGGTGAACAGCCTCGTCACAGGAGCCACGGATTACGCTGCAATTAAAGATTTCCTAACTTTCCGCGGTCTTAGTTAGAGGCTCCAGCCGACGGTGTGTGAGGCCATATCAGAGGAGCGGAGGCAGGAAAACAAGTTGCCTGCGGACAAACATTGGGTTTTATTAGTGAGCCTTAACCCTCACTGTAATTTGCTGAGAGCTCTCGCGTTTCCTGTTGAGGCGTGCTTGTGTTGATTAATGTCTGGTTCGTTTCAGACCACCTTACCTGCAAAGAGGGATTTGCAAATATGTTTTTTTTTGTTTTTTTTTCCATTAAGCTGAAAAAGCTTTTTGACACCAGCAGAGATGTGACCATCGCTGTCGCTTCAGGAACGGGATGTTAGTATGTGATTAAAATAACTAGTATCAGGGCTGGCAGACAGGAAGGAACTCAAAGAAAGCAGGAAAATAATACACTTTGAATGTCGCAGACTAATTACAACAAATGGGTTCTTCCTGTGAGCAACGCAGAACCGTAAATCATATTTCAAAGAGCAAAAGGCCCACGGAGTCGCTTTCCCGTGCAACAACATCGCCGGAGTAAAAAACGCGCGAGGCCGGCGGCGTTTCACTCTTACCTTGCGCACAAGTGAAAGCATCCTCCTGCAGCGCGTATCCAGGGAGGCACTCGCACCGGTACGAGCCCGCCGTGTTAACACATCTGTGGTGGCAAATGCTGCCCTCGTATATCAGGCACTCGTCCATGTCCTCCACCTCGCCGGGACCCTCCGCCGCGTTCTCCCCGTGCCGCTCCTCGCCGATGGAGAAGGCCTCTTTAGGGTACGGGCTGTCGGATACTGAGCACAGGCATTACAGCATTAATGATGTCTGTAGTCAAAACGCCGGCCCTTGGACGGGATCCGGGAAATACACATGCAGCGCGGCGAAATGCAACAGAAGAAAGACACAATTAGATAGAAAGTGTTTGGACGAGTCAATGGAGGAGAATTTTCACCTCGTAGCCAAATCAGCACAAGACGAACGACACCAACAGGGTGGTTTACTGAGAGGGGATTAGATGCATCAGATTACAGATTACATCACGGAGTGAATTCAGCTTCCCTACTTTGTTCTGGGGGGCCAATGGGTCGGTGGGGGTCCTATACAATGCTTCCTTTCAACGAAAACGGATTGTCTATTTAAAAACGTGTGCTTTTTTTCCCCCTGGCAGTGCACTGGTGTGCGTCACACTCCCCCACCCAACAACAACCCCTCCCTTGGCAAGGAGCATGCGATGCGTTCACATTCTGCTGTGTGTGTGTGCGTGCAGATAACAGTACTTTTCTTGGGCTGCGGCGTGGAGTCGACGGCAGGCCGCTCTCTGACGGAGCGCCAGCCGTCTGGATTACCGCTCTGCTGCTCCTCCTCCTCCTCCTTGCAGCACGTTAGAAAGATGTGTCTGCAGTGGAAGCCCAGGTGCTGGGGGGCTTCACAGCGATGCCCCTCGCGGAGGAACAGCAGCCCCAGGGAGCAGCAGTCACAGCACTCCTGCTGGTCAAACAAAACATTAAAACCGGTTGTCCGGGGTTTGTTTTTCGTCCACTCTGGCCAGAAATATAATGACAACCGTCACATGGACTGCCGTAAAAATGTTCTTCTGTAAACACAGTCGGCGGAGAATTACAGGCTTTGGTGCTCCTGACTTTTTCCTCTGGTGCCACAATGAGGATGGTGTATATAAAGGACACAGCTAAAGAGGAATCATGGTGTCCGCGGGGACGTTGATGATCCTTTGGCTTTTTCTCTTGCTCCACCATCAGGCTTTAGTTGTTTGAAGTGAAATGCCTCGATCACATTCATGACCCCATCAGGATGAATTACAATACCTGTGAATCTAATGACACCCCCATCATTCTCAGCTGTAGGTCCACCTGGTTTTTAGTGCTAATAAAGCGCTGCAGTGTGAATCCTAACAAGCCCTTTTAGCATTTTACTTCCGCCGATTGCTTTCACGTAGTAGTAAAATTCCTGTTTATGTGTAAACGAATTGCTTAAGTAACGGGTAAGTATCGTAAACTGCGTTCTAATGAAACGTAAAGCTTTGGTGATTGCCACTGCGATGTATTGTGGTTGTAGATGGCGTGACATTACTTAATCTACAGGGGTCTCACTGAAAGGCGATAAAAATGAATATTTAACAGCTGCACTGTGGAGTCGATAATGGCCTCTGAGCAGGTACGCGACTATCCTTCAAATGGTGGTCTCTGGGAGTCTGGGCAACCGCAACATGGTCGCGTGGCCGCCGCGACCTCGTGCTTATTGACCGCCATAATAGCCCTTTGTCTGCGGCTGCTACTGTTGAACCAGATTAAATTATCGTTCCACGTTTCCAGAAAGGCCAAACAATTGACATGTGACATTTACAGTCGCCGACGTCTGCTTTGAAGCTTTGGGACCGTGGGAATCTTCCTTTGCAATTGCCACTAAATCCTTTTACGTAAATGAAATCAGGTAATTGAATAGCAGGGAATTGGCACAGCAGCAGTAATGCTCAGGGGAGCAGAGTGGAGAGACGCTCGCTGTCTGGCTACAGCGGCATCGACGTGGGTTTTCAATCCTGCAGCAAACTAATGCCTTCATCCATTGCTAATTCAGGCTCTATTAGGCTTCGTTTCAAAATGACAATGCGATCATGTTTGACTGTGAACCCAATAAAGTGCGTTGTCCCTCTGCGGGGGGTGTCCAATCACAGACGCTTGCCTTGTAGGAATCGATCCCACATCTGTCGCCGGCAGCCTCTCGACACATATTTCCGGCCTTGGCTGCGTCCATTCCAGCCGAGCAGCGGCCTTCTGAGAGGGCGCCGCGGCAGCACTGCTGTTGGGCCGTCCTGGCAGAGAGAAGCACAAAGGAGAGAGAGAGAGAGAGAGAGAGGGAGAGGGAGAGAGAGAGGACCGCCTGAGTGTTTGGACAGCAGCCCCGACAGGAAACAGCGACTGGGAGCTACAGAGCGGAACCGAACCGCGTCTTTCTGCGCGTTTATTCAGGAGAAATTAGTGTCAGCATTGTGGTGATTTACCAGTGAAAAGCTCTGAGGACCATTCAGTGTTTTCAGAAGAGAAAGGTACTTAACAATGTGACTGAAAACAGTTTAGTTATGATGCTTTAGTAAATGTAACTTGTTAACACAGTCGTTCCACAGAGCCCTATTTAAGATGATTTACGGCGTGTTTAATTCATTAATTAAGCCCACCGATCTGAGCGGCTGCCTTACCAGCAGATGGAGTTCCTATCTTTGGTGGGGGGCTCCATGTTGTTGCAGTGACCATTAGCTGAAGCCCACTTCTCTCCGGTCTCGCAGCAGGTCTTCAACGGCTCCTTGGCAGGAACTATAATGAAACGCAAACACCCACATCCAGCTTTATCCCACTTAGTGCAGCCATGCGCCTCAGAGGAATGGCACCAAGTCATGGTAACAACGTGAGTTCCGCCGGACGAGGAGCGTTTCCCACCGTACATTTCCCACCAGTGGATGCCGTGAAATGTGATTAGTGCAACTGTAGTTCACCTCTGGTGCAACGCTCTTGTCTCGGATCGAGACTTGGAGACTAAACGCTGAAAGTAGCTCGTTTTTTTTCCCTTTTCAGACTCCTCGACTCTGCTCTCACTTACGTTGGCAAGCGAGTATGTATGTAACCCAAAACTCCTCGAGACATACCATCAAAGTGAAATGCTCCAATTCTTTTCGTTGCATCCTTGCTAATGGAGAGCTGGAGTGAAAGAGTGAACACACCGCCACCGGGAGTCAGGCCGAACACATTACCCAGGTTACGGGAAAACATGTACGAGTGTCCTTTCAATAACAGGCCAAGCGCATTCCAGCTCTGATTTGTGTCTCCGGCGCTACAGTAGAAGACACAACTCATGACACGCGAGCCTTATTCGCCTTTCTGGTGTACTGTAAAAAGCGTTTTATTTTCCACTTTCGTGGCGACGATGACGCGATTTGGACCGGAGCTTTAATTGGTCTCTCTCACAGCCGGGCCTGTTCCAACGAAAGCCTTCAACCAGTGCGAGGGTCGCTCAGAGGACAGACCACGTCCTCTTGTTGCAATTCTAAATACACAAAGATCAGCGTAGACCTCTGTGGGCGCCTCGCGGCATTCTGGCATTCAAACTTCCACATCCACTTTCATTTTTGGCGGAAATAACTGTGTCGTTTTCACCTGTACATAACAAGACCAAAGCAACTACTCACAATAAAGGGAGCATAATTTAAAGGTTTAGACAGGAGAAAATCTAAACCTTAAACCGCACAGGGACTCTTTGATATATAACTACAGTATCTGTGTCAGCCGTGCAGTTAAACAACTCCCTTTGAACCCGAGTGAATGCATATTAAAAGACAGAACATATTTACTCATTCTCCTCCTTTGGACTCCCATTCATTTTCTCCGGTGGGATCAGTTCCTCCCGTCACGAACATCACACAGATTTGCTCCATGTGTGCATTCAGAATGTTTGATGTACACAAAGTTGAGGTAGCCACGCCCTAAAGCAGAGTTAAGGCCCATTGCGCCCCGAATGGGACCATAACATCGTGCTTTTTGAAGACAAGCACGGCTTGACCTTTCAGAAGAAAGTTGCAGCCTGGACGAACTATTTCATCCCCTATCATGTCTGACGCTTACTCGTTCTCTTCCTGTCTCTTTGACAGACCTTCTAATTAAGACTATATCGCAACTTGTGGCGTTCTGCAGCGCAATAATTACCAAAGTCGATTTTTGGTGCTTTCACAACGGAGATCTCAAATATACGCTTGAGGGGCGGCTGAAGAGCATCTCTCTCAGTTCCGGGGCCTGTCATTATAGGTTTCCATCTGACTGGCATTAACACCAGATGCTTTGCTCTCGTCTTAAGTCCAAAACGGGTGACATCACACCCTTTTGAAAATATGGAGCTGGAACAGCAACCGAAAAAAGGGGCAACTCTCAACCTGCCTGGAGGTGTCATAAAGCAGTGCGCGGTCACCAATCAGGGCTCGGGTGTCTTTTCTTTTGTGGACTCGGCAGTGATTTATCATGCAGGGGGGGGGCGCGAAGAGGACACCACCAACAACGTGAGTAACGGCCGACGCCAAAAGGTGCGCGGCACACAAACCCAAGTGGTTGTAGCTGTCGGATGATTGATGCTGAAAGCTTTTTCCAGCGTGTCTGCGTGTGCTGAGCGGCCCGATGTTCGGCCCACCTTCGACATGAACACTTTGAAACACATAATCACTGTCTAAGAACAGCTGGATGTGGCCTCCCGCTGTCGCCATGACTTCATCTCCGACGCGGCCAATCTCGTGGGTTCAATCATCGATAGTTTATGTCTTAATCCCCCCCCGCGATCTTGAGCCGACATTTGCGCGATCCGTCTTTTTGTCGTCTCAATCGAGGGCTGCGCTCGGTTGCCGCGTCGGACTTTTGATGGTTCCGGATGGTTTCTTCCAATCCAATTACACCTCGCTGTGGTAAGAGAACCCTGAATGAAATGCCACAAACTGCGAGGGGAACTCAGCACTAATGTTGCATTGAATCACCAAGATTTAAAGCTTGCATTTCCTGAGGTCGGCCACACACGTCCGTGACGAGCACGCACGCACCCACAGCGTTTCTGTAGAGGTCCTGCTAGGCATCACAAAGTCAAGTTTTTGCACGTCAAGTTGGTTAAGTATATTCGGCTGCACGCCTCTGAGCGAATATTCTCCACAGTAATCCCGTGACCGGCCTCGCGTTGCCTTATTATGCGTTATATATTCCGAGGCCCGCGCACAAACCAGAACACTGGAAATTTGCTCGTTTCTTGCCAGAGGAAATCCGTCCAAATCCTGATTCTCGAGCATAAATAATAGAGCATGAATATATTTTCACATGCCCAATTAGAAGCAACCATTGACTGCTTTGCATATGATTTTATCAATGAAGACTATTTATAGATTTTGCATGAAAGGTTTACTGTGATTCACATTCAGAGGACAAATTTTATATCTGAAAAACAGCTCACACGGCGTCACTTTGTTTGCACGTGAATTACAGATCTGTTATCGCGCAGCAATTCATAACTAATCACTTTCTACTTTTTGTGGTTTTCCTGCATCTGCCGCGCATGTTTTTATATTCAGTAAGTAAGGGTGGCATTTGGATCTGGTGTTTTTTTTACTAATGACATTTTGTGCATAGGGGATATGCCAATATTCCTCGAAATTACCTGCAAGGCCACGCAGATGAACCCAGAGCGTTCTTCGAACCGATCCGCACAGTAGTGCACTTCCAAATGCAGCGTGTTGGGCCTCAGTTTCATCCACTTATGTACGCTTAGTATTCTCCCGCTCTAGTTCAATGTTGTGGTTGGCGCTTGGGAACGTGGAACCTCACCGCAGTGTGGAGCCGTGCTTCAGACGAGGTGATTACCGGGAAGATTGGGAAAGCCAAGCAGCCTCACGAGAGACGGGGTAATCACCCCGGCTCATTGGGGAGCGGCGAGCAGCGTCTGGCAAATCAAGCCGCAACAGTGGCCTCATTCATCACACGGGCATTATGCCGCTCACAGGTACAACCCCCCCACCCCCAAAGAAATACTACACCAGGTCCGGCCCAGCATCAGAGAGCCCGAACGACCCCCACCTCCCCCAACCCCAAACCTCCCCTCTGAGCACACACGGCTTCTTCTTGTAAAGAATGAGCAAACACGGTCACCAAATGTTTGTGGAAAAAGTGCTTGTGTTCTTCTGTTAATCAAACCTTTTTCCTCTCAAACATAACTTGTGTAGCCGGCGCCGTTGATAACGGGAATTAGTCGAGGCCCTTATCGTCTGTGTTTGTTTCCTGCCTGTGTTTTAACATGTCACCACCCTGGGAATCTCCAATAGTCCAATGACCTTCTGCAGTGAACCAGCACGGTGTCATTACGTCGCGCATCCAGGTCGAGCTCCTTTCCCCCCGGAGAGGAACACACCCTGCTTTGACTTCCAACTCAAAACTCTGTGAAATGATCATTCCCAAGTGGATAGTTGGACTTTATTCTAACGCGGTTATGAACATTGTGGAAATTCTCCCTGAATGAATAGAAGAGTTTCTATATTAGCTCACAGACCGTTTCACCGACTAGACTTGAGACTGCAGCCCAACAAAATATGTCATGGCAACTTTCTAACCCGTATTCATCAACCTGGTGCTGGTAAATGGAGTCGACAGGCAGCTCTGGTGTTTACACGGGAACACCTCACCCATGCGTTCAGCATGTACTAGACATACCTATGGAGGCCGGGTGCTGAAAGGTAAGAAATGTCCCGACAGGTCCCAACAAAAAAATCACAGTGTTGTAAAGGGGGGGCTGACAACACACCTCCAGATTGTGAGGACCAAAACTCCAAAAGCGAGTATGGATGGCTAGTAAAATGCACTCTTTTATATAGGGGTGGGGGAGAAAATAGATTTTTTGATTTCTCTCGATTCTCTCTAGAACGATTTGGTCTCGATTCAGAAAAGTTAATAATCGGAATTAAAAAAAAAAAAAATCCGTCTCGCGATATTTGCTCGCTCGCGGAGCGTGAACTTCGTCTCTTAGTAGAAGGTGTTTTCTACGCGCTCGCTGTTGTTCTTTTTGACGGTAAGGGGGCGGAGCCAGTCACCATGGTCTCTACACCTGATTGGTTACAAACCCCGTCTTTGGATTGGCTGGAGTGATGCATTCACACAACTATAGAAGCCCATTTCCGCACTAATGTAAGGGGATAAAAAGTCAAAATTATGAGATAAAACGTTGTCAAAAAACAAACGAACCCCCCTTCGGTGATCGTAGTGGACCGTAGATGACAACCAGCTACAACCATCATTTACCATCATTACCGGCACATTAAGAGCAATGCGTCCAGCTCGCAGACCGGTCCGTCAGTCTGAATCTGAGTATCTAATAACTTTAACGAACTATGAAGGATCCTGCGCAGATCCTACCTCATTATTTCCATTTTACAAAAAGTTGATCCATATTGAAAGTTGGCAAGATATTCACAGATTTTGACTTTTTTCTGGTATTTTACAAATACGGACCGGCCTGAGACGAAGAGCAGCTTTTTCTTCATTTAAAAGAAAAATGAATCTGTTTAATATTTTTTTTACATCGGCAACTTCCGTATTGTGTTGAAATGCAAGCTGTGTTGGTTCTTGCATTGTTGATAGAAAATCTGATTTGTGAAGATTTTTTTTTCTCTTATAAAAAATTAGAGAAGGTAATTCATCTGTTGATTTTCTTTAAAAATCAAATAAAGTAGGAAGTGATTAGCAACCTCTGAGTAGCAAACTCAGATTTGAGAAAATTTAGAAAATCGAGATGCATCGATAATCGTTTTATCAGTTTAGAATCGATAATCGGTTTAGAATCGAATCGTTGACCTCTGAATCGGAATCGAATCGAATCGTGAGGTGCAAAGAGATTCCCACCCCTACTTTTATGATGCAGTTCCGTCACGTGATTCACGTTCAGTCAAGTGAAATCCGAATGATTAAAGCAAAAGGAAATGTTTTATGTGTCGTGATTCATGATTAATATCATGGGGGCAGAATCGTTGGATCTTTTGTGCTCATGTAGGTTAACGCCGTACTTTGGAATGAGCCATGTTGTTGTCGTAGCGTAACTCATCTTCTAGACATATTAGTAATCAATTCTCTGTCTCTTTTCCCTCCTGGTGCCTGCAGTAGATTGGGCTATTTGTCCCAGAGGGGGCCGATCTGTTTGAGAACATGCTGATAATCACATGAGGGATACGGGCAGGATGCACGACCCTCCAGCTCTCGCCAGAGAGAGCGGGGAGAGAAAATGCAATTTCAGCGCTCTTAAGGGATTTATCGGATATATTAGAAGCACACTAATGTAAATACAGCACAGGGCTCCGTCTTATTTGCTACTTACAGCCCCCCGGAGACATACAGCATTCTCTCAAGTTGAATGCAGGAAAATGAGCGTGCACTTTGCATTGTTCTTTTCTCTTTGGAGAAAGGTAGATAAATGCTATCCGGGGAAAACAGACTTTCCACGAACAATTGTTTTTTCCTGGACCTCTGCAAGCTTGAATAGAGTGAATTCAAAGGGCAGGAAGTGAGAGAAAGAAAAGGAAGATGCCTTTTGAAATAGCAGCAGAGAGTGTACGACGTCTCGTTAGTCTGTTTATTTTTCATCGCTACGTTGATTATCGATACCTTTCATTGCGATGAGATCCCGACCCAACTGAAACTCCACAGGCCTTTAATACAAATACGATAATATACTATAATGAAAATGTGAACGGCCCAATCTAGAGCCGGTGGAAATCTACTTATTATTATATTCCATTTCTGCCACTAGATGACCCTACATTTTACACACAGTCTGCATCGTACATACCTTCAGCGAACCCCTGAGCATCCTGGGAGTGGTAGTTTTGGCGGGCTTGGGGTCGTCTGACAGGACCTCTGCTGGTGGGGTTGAACTGCACGGTGGGATTTGAGGTCTGCTCTTCTTCGCCTCCTTTGCCTTTTTCTTCCTCGCTGCCATAACGGGGGCCGCCATGACTCCCCGTGCGACCGCCTTGGCTGTGTTTATGATCGCCAGAGGGCCTGCTCCCCTTATCTGCACGGGCGGCGTGTGCTGCACCTTTTACGGCGTCCTGTGAGACTCTGTTGATGCCCCCGTGGGGTCTAGCGGTCCGCTCCCCGAGTTCCTGTTGCGGCCCCTGACTCCCCGTGGTCACCCTCTGCGTGGTTGCCGTTGCCGTTGTTGATATTTCGCCGCGGCCGCCTGCAGTCGTGGGATGCGTGTCGTGAGCGGCCTCAGCCTGACTGCTCGTCTCTGAGTCAGAACGTCTCTGCGTCTCATGTCTCCCGTCATCGAGGGAGCTGAAGGAAGTGGAGCTCGCCTTCGCGTAGGTCGGCGGTATTTTCGTGGATTCCAGTAATTGGGCCAGATCTTGGATAGTGGAAGACGTGGGCCCTTCCAGTCTGTAGTCATAATCCCCTGTGCCAAGACTGGGTGGGTCCTGCTTATACAGCGGCAAAGTGTTTCGCAGTGCCAGCTCGGAAAGCCCTTCCCCGGGACTCGTTTGTCGGCCGTCATGGCGGCTGCTGATGTCTCTCAAAGGGCCGTTGTTCTCCGTGGTCGTGGCCCACACGGGCTTATTGGAAGCGCGAAGGTCACAGCTGGGGATGGGCGAACACATTAGGCGTCCGCCCTCGTCTGGACAGTGGCAAACCTGGCACCGGTCCCTTTGAAAGGAGTGCCCCGCATTGTACTTCTTGCGGCCGTGGGTGCAGCCGATTTGGCCACACCGCGGACACCCGTCCGCCGGTTGCAAAACGTCAACGCAGTTGGGGGGAATTTCAGGGCAGGGGATAAAATTACAACTTATCTTCCCACCTCCCGCAGGACAGACGCATTCGGTGCTTCCAAAATCCACAAAGTACGCTCCTCCCTCCGGGACTTTCCCTTTCCGGAAGCCTCCTTGCACACAGTCGTAGTACTGGTAGCCCTCACAGGTGCAGCCTCTTTGGGTGCAGGCGGGACAGCAGGAACCTTCCTCCAGAACCGTTTCGATGCAGCGCTGCAGAACGGGACAGTCCACGCCGGTGCAGTCTTTCTGGCCCAGACAGGTGTCCATGCACAGAACCAGCCCACTTAAAAACAATGCTGCCCTCTGAATGTTCATTTTGTATTTAAAAAAAAAAAAAAAACGTGTGGATTCTATTCCAGATGAGAAAGAATTTGCGTGTCTTTAAGCCTGTAAAAGTAAAACGTGGTTAATGTATTTTACAGCACTAACGTTGTCTGGCAATCAACAATAATAACAATCAGAGTCTGATTACTGTGCTCAAAAACACACTGTTGAACTTAATAACCACGTCTGCTTTAATTGGGCCCCGTGCCAAATGTTCATTTTCCGTGCCCATTCTTTTGGCACCACAGCAGGGGATGAAAGCCGTGGTTTATATTTGATGGCATGTGGAAATTTGGCCAAAGGTAAGAGTGACTGAGGGAAATATGTGCAAAAATAACTCGAACAAAAAGGGGAACAAAGAAAACGAGGCTGCAACAACAAAACCTCCCTTCTATGACAATGTTACAGTTCGCCGTACAAAAACCGTGTGCGACAGGACTGCTTTTCTGAGTTATATATTTCTCACTAAATGTTGTGCTTGCAGGAATATGCCTGGTTGGGACGTTATCTTCGGTCATTTGAGTCCATTGTTCATTTCTCCCTTTAGTAGCGGCTTGCGAGGATAACCGCTATAACCCGCGCTGTTATAAGAAAATGACACATCGTATTGAATAAAGTCGTGTTCAGTCTGGAATGAAGAGATTTGAGGAGGTTTTCTGGAGCTCTTTTGTTCTGCGTCAAACGGCACAGGGACAAAGAGACGCAGCACAGGTCAGAATTCGACAGACTTGATCCTGTGAGACGGTGAGGTGACTTCAAATCAGGGCGCGTGTTGGGAACCAGGTGTTTCTCATCTCACTTTTCCTGTTGCTCTTGTGCCAGTCGCAAGAGGCTTATGTGACGGTTATTGCTTAAAAGTCTACAGTCTGGTTTAAAAAGAGAGATTGACTCAAAATCCTCTTGCGTGACAAACTTGCCTCGTGACGTTTTCTGTTGAAATTTTTCTCCCATCAGTGTCATCGGAGCTGCTTCCACCGTCTGTTATCACATTTTACCCAAAAATGTCAAATATTCCCACCAAAAGAGGAGCAGCAACAGAAAGAAAGGGATAAGAGATGCTTACAGTTTACTTTCTCTCTCCAACTGAAGCAGCCTTCTTGCTTTCCTGGAAGTAGTGAGCTGCAGATCCAAGTGCGACTTACGAATCCTGATCTTTTTAGAGAAATGAAAGTAAACGTGGGAACCTGATTGACTGTGTTCTCTGAAACCGGCGTGTGTGCAAACACATGCAGCGCATCTAGGGGGAAAAAAATATATAAAATCAAGGGGGTCATCAATTTAAACGCAACATCTGCACTTTCTCCTCCCTCCTGACTCCAAACAACACAAAGTGCAACCGCAGCTCCGCGTCGACAATCAATGACGTCTTTGTGTTCCTCGGGCACAAAATCGTTTCACCAGATCAGGTGGTCTTTAACAGGCACATGGCCCACTGTATGTCTACGTCATTCATGGGGGGGGGGGGGTACTGATGGACTGAGAACGAACACCTCGATGGGTCTGTTTGTGAATGAGAAGCATGTTGTGTGTTCAGGTGTCCCACAGAGCATTCCACAGCCACAAGGTGACCTTTATCCCCTTTTTTTCCACATTTGGCTCAAACACGCTGTTTGAAGCCGCCTAATAGTCCAGTGAAGGATCGTAATACTGTTTCTTAAACCACCCGCGCGTCGAAAATGACGCGCGCGTTGTTTCTCATCGTGTCACAAGAGGCGACTTCCACATTTGGGATTTAACAGGAACACGTGAATAAAAGCATGCGGGACACAGTGCAGTTGTCGGGTTGTGTTATAACTATAGAGTATTTAGACAACAAGAAACGCAGTAAAATATCAAACACACGCTAAAGCTTTGACAGCATTGGTCGCGTTTCTAAATATTTCGTCTCACGTGTTGCTCAGTGGAAAAAAGCTCCGCATGTGAAATCCTGCATTAACGGTGACAAAGCACGTTGCCTACCTTGCGTCTCTCAGCGCTGCCGAAGGGAACTTGTGCGTAAAGTTTCAGCCGACTCTGGAGTCCAGGAGCGCGCTCGCTCCCCCCAACCTTCTTTTTGAGGGAGGGGGGCGGGACAAACTTCCATAGAAGTGTTTGAAAGAATATCACGGTCAGAATAAATAATGACAGAGTTGTAACTGTGATGTAGAATGATGGAAGAAACCAGGCCGGTGAATAAATCTGGCCCCTTGCAAACACCACGTGATGTTTGGGACCTTTTCAGAGCTGTAATTGCTGGAATGTGATATACTGCAGTGGATTTGATCTTTTTGATTTCTCTCCACGTGTCTTTTACTCTTCTTTCATCTTCAGGATCACTGTGTCACCGGGGAGAACAAACATAGACAAAAGCTGCCACACGAGTCGACTGATCAGGCAAGCGGAGTCCTGGGGCCATTGATCACTTTGTCTCTCGGGGGTCTCCCTTGACTAATCAGTGACGCAGATGATCCAGTGGCCCTATTATTAGTTTTCTCTGTTCATCAGAATCAAATTGCATGCACAGCTACACCAGTCACACACTACGAAGACCCCCTAAAGGCTTTTGGACGTCTTTCCCGATTAAATTACCCCGTTAATTCTTATATTTAATCCACAAAGGAACTTTAGAATGACTATTCCTTTCAGTATTGTTGATTGATGACGTATATTTAAATATAGATACGCAACCAACCAGCTGTAATGATTTATCCGCTCTGGTTTTAAATGTTATCGCCCTTCGTTACACACCGACATGCCGAAAAAGTGCTTATATGTTCATTGATAACCGGGACATGAGCTAAGTGTCCCTGAACGCACCATCAAACAAAACCAAGCTTTACTTTGTCCCACAGATATTTTACACGGTCACATAAGACCCCTTTCTCATGGACACTCACGGGAAAAATAATCTCTGCGACCAAAATACACGGTTAGAAATGAATGAGTCCTTAAACGCCTTCTGTATTGAGAACGTTTGAGGCCCCCTGGACTCCTGCGCAATGTCCTCATGTCGCAGTCAGGGACCCGATGACCTGTTCCTCCCACAGTAGTTGACCTCTCCCCGCTCTTCTGGGGCCGGAAAGCCTCAGTCCAGTAACGTCTCTCGGCCCGCGGGATAATGTCATCTGACACGCCGTGATTTGGTAGAAGGTAATTGCACCCCACACTGTTGTAATTTCTCATTCATGCATGTTTGAATGGTGACTTATGCCACCACTAATTGCCAAAGCCCACTGACTGCAACCCTGCCTCGTAATGATGCGGCCTAATGGGCACTCCGTTTCACACTAATACCAAATTAAGGTTTGAAGTTTAATACGCCGTGTTTATTATTTGTCCTCTGAGGAGAGTGAAGTCACCGTTGCCTCACTTCTTCCGACGATTAATAATCTTTTAGGGTTTTTTTCATTTCAACCGATGCGAGTGACGGTGACATCATGGTCACCTCGGGCCCCTTAATGCAGCGGGAGTTAATGTTATCTGTCCGCCGTGTGAGATATTGTCCTGATCTTCTGCTTTTGTTTAAACAGGTGGGAGGGCCTCGTAGTCCTTGTTTAAGCTTTTGTTAAGCCACAGAGCTTTTGTGTGATCTAAATTGATGGATCGCTCCATTACAGAATCAGGTGGGAATTACGGAAAAATACAAGGCGCCTCGCAGCAACGTCGCATGTGGCAAACAAACGTCGTAGCTTTATTTTACCGTCGTCAAATATGTTCTCCATCAACTCACTAATGCAGGTCCAAGATGGAGTAAAGAGAGGAGTCTTTAATGTGAGCTCCGTGGGGGGGGGGCTACGCCACGGGAAATTAGGGGCTAAATGTAATGTGGCGAAAGTGACTCCCCACCTGTGTGTTGTAAAGACTTTCCAGGCTGTAGTTAAACGATATGTCTGCAGCTCAGCATGCAACAGCCATGCGGCTCAGCTCACTTCTGCATCGAACACTTAACACGTTTGAATGAGCTGGAATATCAGTAGCTCAGAGTCATAAACTACTTTCTGATATAATTTGGCTTGATTGAGTGAATTTCAACAAGAAACACACCTATTTAGGGTTGAGAGTAAAAAGTACTTTGAATATTGTTAATGTGAGGCACGAGGAAGCACTTTGCCGAGATTACACCTCCATTGTCCATGACCATGATTGCAAAGAGCTGCAGAAGCAAACCCACTCAGCTGCATCCTCCTAAAGCCCACACCGTGGAGAGGGCGCGGGAATTTACAGCATGCAGTAAAGACTGTGCAAAGGGATTCGACAGTAAAAGCCGAACTCTGCAGAGCTGCTGCAGGGTGAACTGAAAGTGAAAAGGTGCAAGACGTTAACATTTACTTCTTCGATGCATGAATTTGTCATATTGCGGAGAAAAACTGCATAGCCAAAACCCTCTGGAGTCCCATCACACACGCAGCGTCGAACGACATCATTTCAGTCCCGCCTCCTTGTCATTATTTTTTTTTTTTTACATTTCTTGGAACACACAAAATTGCTCCCGGAGGCCCGAGCGGATTCCACTAAATGGCAACACCTTATATTTTCCCTCCCTGCAGACGGTTTTTACTGCCCCTCACACCTTCAGTTGACGATGGCGTGCATTTCCAAAACTGTTTGAAGAAGTAACAAACCCCCCCCCCCCCCCCTCCCAACCGAGTACATTCGTGGGGGCACCAGCTGAGAACACTGCCATTGAGTACAACTATATGACAACGTCGTCATCTGTTCCCCGGCTGAACTGGTAGATTTGGACTCAAGGATTCATCCAAGGAAGAAGACGTCCCAGCACCCCTTTCCCTTTGAATGAGTTCAGGCCACTTTGTGTTTGTCTAGACACGGGCCTCCGTGTGCAGTGCTAGAGACACACAGCGCGGTATCAAGTATTCTTTTCTATTTTCTCAGAGATTAAATCATTAAAACACAAATTGTAGGTGCAGTGCCAATGGATCAGCTACAAAGGAGGAACTAAATGTAGGACTGAAGCCTCCACAAATGACTAAAAGTTGTGCTGGCTTCTCAGGTTTCATTTTCAACCGCCATCATCGCCCAGAGGAATGGTTACGTCATCGTGTTTCAACCCAAAATAGCCAAAGAAAGTCTATTTAAGTTGTCGCATTTGGACCATTCTGCTCTAAATGTTCAATGCACGGCTCAATATGTCATACGTTTAGGTTACTGCCGTTGCAACTGTGTGGTTTCCATTAAAGACAATTGGAACAAAGCACCAGTTAGTGATGAGTTTTCATGGCTAACACAGTCTGACTCAGATAATAAGTGCACTTTGGCACAAAGCAGCATTACCACAGTGTATTTCCTAATCAAGCTGTTTATCTCACCAAGTCTAAAAAAACGAGAGCCGCAGACCAGGAGTCAACTTCAAAGCCGATGAGAGGATGGATCAGAAATGATGCAGCCAAACGAACTCTGAATGTACAATTAACATTCTGTTAACAATTAATGTTGCATCTTGGGACCAATTCGAGCTCCAGAAAATGATCTCACACACAGTCAAAGAGGTGATTTGGTTTTTGGATGTTCTCAGAGTTGCTCTCTTGGATAAATTATTAAAAACATCTTCGTTTTCGTCACCAGTCTGTTGAATATGCCAATATTTTAAGGACACTGAGGGCATTTTTTTTACTCACTTCTAGTTTAATAATCTTGGCTTCTACTCGTGTCTTGGAGAAATAAATATACGAGTATAGCAGTCAGTGACACCTGGAGGTGAAAAGGAATATATTGCACGTTCCTCACTAAATGCTGGAGAGCAAGACAGTCAAACTGCGTGTGCATCGAAAGAATGCAATCCAAGAATGACTGGCAACCAAGACGTTAAAGATGGTTTCTGTGTCTGCTGCTTAGTCTGAGTAAGATATCATTTAACACAAAGAAACAAAAAATCCCTCCTTCTATACAGAAACTATACCAATACATGTGGTAGCCAACTTCTAAACGATGTGCATTTATTCTTCCTCCACTAAGCAGAGCAGCAGCGGGGCAGGAAATTAACGTCTATAAAACGCCACACTAAGCTGAATGAATTGGTAGTTAAGTTGGTGTTCATTGTAGAATGAACACTGAATGAATTTAAGAGGCCTTTTGGGTTGAATCGGACGGTCTATGTGTAGTAAGTGACATAGTTGTTGATCTGGGTGGTGGCATAAGGGTTCCCCACAAGTAGCTATAGGGTACGCAGAAAAGATATGGATGGATAAATTGCGGTGTGCCAATGGATGCTGGTTGACAGTATCTGGGGATCCACAACCATAATTCTGTTGTGTAGCCTGCATATCTTGCCATCATTGTGTAACTAAAAGCCCAACTCTGATTTAAATAATTACAAATATTAATTTAATTTCACGTTATTTAAGTCAATTTGGTTTATTGGTGAATATTAAATAAAATTTAAAAAAATGCCATAATCAAACATTTAAAACAATGGCCTCTGGGGTCAGTTCATTTTATTCAAATCCATTTCATTTCAGTCACTTGTCGGAGAAAACAAACGACACACTGTTCCTTTAAGAAACAGCGTCACCGTCCGCGTCATCCACTCCTGCCTGTGACGTTTACTCTCCTCCCGGCATGCTCACTGAAAGTCCAATTATTAAGTTAATGGCGGGTATTTGTAAATGTCAGCGTTTAAGTTGTTGTTTGCGAATTGTATGCAATAATATAAGAAGAGAGACGTGTATTAATTGTCTCTGTTCGTTTCAAAGTATCTGCGTTGATTAAAAAAAGTGAGGGAGCAGAAAGGGGGGGGGAAGTAACGTTAGCTTAGATTGTAACGCTAGCTTAACCGTTATCGTCATGTGCGCGCTGGCCGTTATCCACTGACACACACCGAAACCGAGCAGGAAGCGGTTTGAAAATAGCTTCGCTAGCGATGTTAGCTCGGCCACACGTCCTTCTCCGAGCCGCGACCCCAACGCCGCCGCGCGAATAGCCGCACTGGATGGGACGGAGGGAGAAAGTTTAGCTAACAGTAGAGAAACTTAGCGCCCATTCATTCGACCGCCGTAACCGCTGACAAGTAAACCTCCGCGGGCCTCATGAAACGGA